ACCTGTCTAGTAAAGGAATTATTATATTCAGTCAGCGGTCACAGAAGAGTTTTCAACTTCCCCCGTTGGAGCCAAGTGTTGGATTAGTTACCATCATTTTTACCCCTTGCGTTACTCCTGCCCTAGATAAAGAGCAGGGCCACGTAAGCAGGGCCTTTATTTTTCATCTGTGCTTAGGAGTGCATTATTTTCCAAAATACCAAGATAGCTGAGGTGTTGGACCCACCTTCGGAAGCATATGCTCCCATGCCCTTCGTAAATAGGGATGCCTTCTCGAAGTAAATGCCGTAAAAAGGGAATTCCAGATTCTCATCTGCAGATCTAGTGCAGACAAATTACTGAGGAGGAGGAAGAGGAGGAAGCAAAGGAAAGGTGTCAACTTGAAGTCATGTTCAATGATGAATTCAAGTAGCAAAGTAGGAGGAAGAGCTCATATACCAGGTGTGCAAGGAAGGGTCAACCCGATAAATGAGTAGAGAGAGACAGTAGGGCTGTTAGTCTAAAGATAGGTAAAAGACAGGGTAGAGTGGCACCTTACAGACTAACTCAGAGAGGCTTGAGCTTTCGTAGGCTATAGCCTGCTTTGTCAGACGCTATGAGTACAAGCGTTGAGAGAACAGGGGAGGATAGGAGACTAATTGCTGAAAGCTCAGAGAGACAAATTCTCCTTCATCCTAGGTGATGCTAATGACAATTAAATTAAAATTCCCCATCATTATCCTTATCAACTTAACGGGGGAATTGAACGCTGGCTACAAAAACACTCCTGGCCAAAGTGAATGCTAAAAGATACGGACACGAACAGCCGGCCCCGCGTTTTCAAAGAGACCTCCTATAGCGGTTTTGAATTTGATATGACAATAGGGCCTAAAAACAGTCATATTTATAGGAAACAGTAAATATATCTGTGTGCTTCCAGTTTTATGCTTTGGAACTCAGTATGTTCTGATAAATTTAACAGAGACACTTCCATCCGAACACTGTTAAAGAATCGTATTCAAGCGCTTAAGGGCAAAAGTTATTTATCCTGGATCTCAGATGCAGATCGAGTGGCGAGGCCGGGCAATTTGCAATGCTATAGTTACGGTTGTGTCAGCACTCTCATTACACACCTATGTCTCTATCGAACAGCCAATACCACCTCTATTTGTAAAAACTGGCTCTGGGCTCAGATTTGACATAAAAATCCGAGCTGAGCAGTAGCAATATTTTTTAAATAAACTTTAAAAAAAACAAAACAGTGCCTTTTCTTTTTTCTTTGCAATTGCAAAACAACAGATTTGCTTGCTTTATGTTCCTTCTTGCATGTTCTTATAAGTCAAAAAGAGGCTCAATAAGAGGAGGAAAAAATAACACTTAAGCACTAAAGACAAGTTATAATTTAAATAAGTACCTAAATATGTACGGCGTTAATGAAGTAAAGCATCACTTCCAAGTACAACACACACCTTGTTCTTATAACTTGCTCTCATTTTCTATGAAATCTTGCAACTCTCCCTGATTTCTAATGTCAAAGAATAGATTTAGGCCCCAGTCCTGCTACTGATAGGGTGTTATCGCATCGTTACCATCCCCTCCTTGATCTTCAATGGGGCATTAGTCCCCATTAATTCCAAGGTCAAGACCAAGACCTATAATGTTTAGCAATGACTGAGGAACAGGTTCTGCCTCTGGATAAATTAACATCCAATTGATTGCGAGGAGGAGTTGAATCCCCCTCCTCACCCCCCCACACTTGTGCATTAATGCTTTTTGCAGAGGCGTAACAGGATTGCACGCAGGTGCCTGCATGCCACTTGAGTGGTGAGTTATGGTAGCACTTTCCATAGCAAAGTTATGGCAGCATATGGTAGCAACAAAGGTGTTGCGGCTTTGCTTTCTACCCGTGGCGAATAATTAGTCTCAAGCATCTCCGAATCGAATGGGTTGGTTTTGCAAGCGTTTTTGCCAGCTGCCAGCCACTAGCCAAGCTGAAGCCTCCCTGCATCTAACCTGCAAAGATGCGCATCTCCCTGGCCTTCCAGCCATACCTGAAGCGATGTCTCATCAACCCATTGCTAGGGGATGCAACACTAACCAACTGAGACTTAGCTACAATTCTGCAATTCAATTTACCCAGCTGTTTCTCTTAGCCAAATACTGGAGATGAAGAGCCAAAGCGCCAGACCTAATTAGGAATTTCAGGCCATTTGCAGGTTAGCGGTGCAGCCCTTTCTCCAATCACTCAACAGGGGCTCACTGCACGTGTTGCACAGTCGCAGGCTTCCCCATTCGATTCTCCATCAGAAGGCATTATTGCGCGGGGCAGGGCTATCCCCTTGGCTTTGCAAGATGAGTGTCTTATGACTGCGCTCCGGTTGTCCCGTGTTTAAATAAAAGCAAAGGGATTTTCTGAGCAAGACAGACACGGTTTCCGAGGAAGCTCAGACATTCACACAGTATAAAATTTAAGGACTCTGGTCACTCCTGATAAATAATAAATGTCCTCACAGCTGGGATTATGTGCAGTCAAGGGTGGGAAAGGGTTATCACAGCAGGGGAACCCAGGCCTGCTTTAGTTATGCAGACCACAGCCTGCGCAGTACGGTGCAGGCCTATCCTGTGCATCTTCCATCACGTTAGCAGACTGCATTAAACCAAGAAAAAACGCAGTCCGCTGCCCCCATAGACTGCAATGCTCTGCACTCCGGACACAATCCCGTAACTCAGGGGGACTGTGGGCCAGATCCAGCCCCGGTCCACAGGGATCACCACAGCCTGCGACCCTGTGCACTAGATTAGGAAAGCAGGACAGCACGGGTCCCAATCCTGGCACTCGGGACTGGGCAACGTAGTGCAAAGCCAATCCTGAACCAGGTGTGCAGGCCCCGTCCTGGCGTGGGGTCCGATCCAGCCCGCCAGATTGCACCTGCTCATCTGTCCCATGGGGCAAACAGGTTGAGCACCACCGCTACAGCTCCCCATCCATTTCCCAAAATATTCAGCACCGTAAGACAAAGGACCAAAAGGTGGCTAAGAAAATTCTTTTAATTTCTAGGCTAAAGGCATTCAAGGCCAGTTTATACCTATTTGTTTTTGTGCCCATATCATCACGCTGAAGCAGCCTGGCTCTTTCAGTCTCCTTTACCCCCGACCACCCTAGTACCGCTCTGCTCAGGTTGCCGTTTGAATTCATCGTGCTCGGACGCCGGCGATCAGAATTCAAGCCAGGTCTCACCAGCACCCCTGACAAAATGACATGAATATTTCCTCCCTCCATGGGAAATATCTCATCTGACACATCTGCGAACAGTATTTGTCTTTATCGTTACCAATTCCCGCTGGTGGCTCGCAGTCATGCTGTGATCAAGTACATCCAGGTCTTCATCCTTGCCTGTCATTTCCAAATGATGAATTCCCAACTTACAGCCGTCATTAGTCCAGAAGTGCATGACCCTGCACTTTTACTATTAAATTTCATTCCATTTTCGATTACTACTTCTATTCTCTTTCAATTCATCCCATCTCTTTCCAGACCTCACTGCATAGCAGCCCCAATTCTTTCCCCATTCTCTTTTCATTTATATGGTTAAAGGAACGCGTTACTTTTTTAAAAATATATCATTTGCAAGATCTAATTCAACTTGCCTTACAGCACTTCTCACTTCATCCCTGCACTTCCCAGATTTTAACATGCACCTTACTCTACTGTTCAATCCCTTGTTCCATTATTTGTAGGCTCTCTAATGACTCCCAAAGCCTTTAAAGGTGCTTATTCATTCAGTTAAATCTGGAGCCCTTCCTTATAAAGTTTCTCCCAATTTAGTTAGAGTGCAACTTTTGCACTTTTGACTTAAAGAAAATTCCTCACCTTCTCCCTATTTAGGCCATTGAGCTCTTTACTCCAGCTGACTTCACTAACTAGTTCAATTAATTACTCAACAGTTCAGCCGTTTGGACTAGGAAGCCCTGTCTCATCATAATCTTGGGATAGCTGTCAAAGCTTTCCTTACTGCCTGGAGGCACAAGCAGTTCTTCAGAGGGGTCTGAAAAGCCTGGGCTAATCAAGTGAGAGTAGACCAAAGGGAATAAACCACCTAAAAAGTCATTTATCAAGCCATTAACAGATGCTTTTCTTTACACTTCCAGTTCAAACTGGATCGACTTGTGACTACTTGAATCTCGGAGCTTCTCTCTACACCTGGCTCTTTTGCCATACCCTAATTAGCTACTCTCAGCACCAACTTCTTGTTGGTTCATCACAGCCAAGAATACCTGGGTTCCTTCAGTATTACAGACAAGGTTCTTTGGGTAAATCTGATATCTTTTATTAGACCAACTTAAATAGGTGGAGAAAACATTTTGGCAAGCTTTCGGGTTTAAAAACCCTTTGTCAGGCTGAGGAAATCTCTGCAGTTGGCGTGTGCTCTTCCTGGAGGGTCCTTGGACCAACACGGCTACAACCTACACTTCAGTATTACCAGCATTTGTTCTCCTGTTTATTGCTGCAATGTAAAATCTCTCCCATAGTGACACAATTCCTGGTAGTCCTTCCCAGTCTAACAGTATTATGGATATCTCCATCCTTACCTGAATCAAACCCAAGCAGAACCCTAGCTCTAATCCTAAAGAGAAACTCATGCCATTTTTGGTCCAAAATCACTGATTCGTGCTATCCCTTCTCATTGCTTTGCAGCCCAACCACACAGCTCCAGCAAAACAGCTCAACCCCAGGCAAAAACAGGTCTCCTGTTTCAGGGCACTTTATGAAGTCCTTGAAATCTCTCATTACAAAGTGGTGCTGAGCGGTCCAAAGCTCATCGCTCCTATGGGTGAGCCTCCAAGTCATCTCTGGTCATCCCCCGCTCATCTAGAAAGCAGGAGCTGCTCTTTGGAGAGTTAATCCCCAGTTCCTAGGCATGCACATTTTAAGTGCTAGCAGGAGGCAGGATAACAACGTCGACTTACGGAAAGTGATGGCTATAACACAGAGTTACAGGAACAATTTAAAAAGCACTCACTGTTGCTGACAGCTTCCCTCCGCTCTTCTGAACGTACATGATGGAGTCTCGTATCATGGAGAAGAGATTGAGCAGGACGTGCTCCATGTCATAGACTCCGTGCATGCCTTTAGTCAGCCCATCCAGGGACCGAATATATTCTCTCCAATAATTATCTATCTCCACCACGCTCGCTAGACACCCTTGCATCACAACACTGCAGTATCCAGCGCAAGGCTTGGCCAACAAGAGTCCTTGGCAATGCGAGCAATACCACATTTTCAGCAGCGCCCGCCCACAGTCCTTGCTGAATTTTAAGTGGTCAGTCGTGTTTATCACTTCAATCCCCAGGTTGAGCGCCTGGAGGAAGACTCGAGTTGCCTGCAGCGACTTCGACACTTGCGTCATCATTGTTTTGGGATAATTACCGAAGATTCGGAGGTCCCGCCTTGCTACCCGCAGGCACTCGGTCATTTCCATAGAGGGGTCCGGAAAGCCCGGGTTAATTAGGTGCGAGTAGACCAAAGGGAATAAGCTGTCAAAAAACTCGTTTATCATGTCATTAACATTGATGTCCGAGCCCAGTATGTACAGCGAGATGTCCGTAAAAAGTTCTCCGACAAACTTGAGAGTCCTGGGCCCCATGTTCTGGTAGTGGTTCCTAAACATGGTGTTGGTGTAGTTTCTTGCATGCCGTACTACAATTTCGAAGGCTTCTGAAAAACAAAATAAAACCAAGAATTAAACATGACAATAAGTTCTGGGATGGAACAAATACTCTGATTCCACGGTTAAAATCGAGTTCCTGTTCAGAAAATGAGTAATGTGCATCTGTACGGGTGGCTGTCACTATTAGGTCCACTGTACATCCATAACACACCATGAGCAGGCCAAGATCTGAGGAGTGCATACGTTCCAGGGACACGAGTTATATTTCAAATGACAAAAGCGAAGATCTAGTTAACATTTCAGCTTTTAAATAAAATATTGATTAAAGAAATGGACTAGATTGCACGTTTTCTCTCTCTCGTATTGATTTGAAATTAACAGGATTTCTATTGCGAGGCTCCTAATTGAAGACGGAGATAAATACTCGACACCAAATTGCATCGCATTTGTATATCAGGAAACACTAAAGGATGGAAACCTATTACGAAACGGAACAATATTTATAGGAGAGGGACTGTAGGGGTTACTGCAACACTCGCTCTTCTTTTAGAGTGTTTTAAGTCATTTTGGTGTCTCGGAAAGGTACCGAAGGCCAGCCCGGCAGCTGGTGTTACTGGGCGTAGCTGAACTGAATCCAGTGGGTTCACACCAGCTGAGGTGCTGGCCTCTTGCACTCAACATTAACCCATGCAACAAGCTGATGAAGGAATATTTCTAGCAAGAAAGCAGCTCAATATCTACCCTAGGACGCTCTGCTTAGAGCCGTGAAGATGCCAAGCCAATGGCAAATACACTGCTGTGCTGGCACCCGTGGACACGGTGACTGGAAAGCATCACTGTAAGGATGTGGGGCCTTTCTAGGTGCTAGTTTCCCACCAGCCTTCTAGCCCCAAACAGACAGCCGAGGCCAGGTTGCCTCTGAGCCCCAGGCCTCATGAATAAAGAACAGCTAAGGCTCACAAGTCATACCGCAAAAGGTCTCCTTCTCCAATACTTGGCAATCTGAAAAGCAGCAAGAACACCAAAAAGATGGTGGGTTTCTGCTTCTCAAGCTGTGCCCTCCACTCCGGATGAAGTTCTGGGGGCGCGATTCAGCA